TCTGCTTATACATATATGTGTCTGCTTTCATATTAATAAATGCAAGAGGTGATGAGTTGAGACAAAAATTATATAGCCTGCAAAGCCTAAAATATTTACCATCCAATCCCTTACAGAACAAGTCTGTTTATCCCTGATGTAGAAAGTAATTCGTGACACAATCCTAAGTTTATGCAATATTTCCTTCTTGAGTTCTCTTTTGACGATGTCTCATCTTACTGGCAAAATGATGCATGTTCAGTTCAGAAAGATATGTGCTTCATCTTCAATCCTTAGTTATCACTTATGCATATATTCTAATCTCTATTTCCTTCACCTGGATATATTGCTCTTGCAAAAGGAGTGGTCCTATTTCTGAAATGTTTTCTAAGACACTGAAGAAATTTGATGACATTTAATTTATACTCTTGCATCTTGATTTGACAGATGTTGCAAGCAAGGAGAATATATTCTTTCTTAGGCTGCATTTTTTGTCAGGTTCACTTAATGTGTTGTTCTTTAGGGGCTTTGAAATCAGCACCTCATTGAAATTGGGTGCAGATTAGAATTAATTTGAAGTGTAGCCCTCTGTCCCTTCATTTTGGAATTAGGTAGGAGAGAATAATTTGGAAATGAAAACACTGAGAATCTATTGTAGTTAGGCACTCAGAATTTTTCAAGTTAGTATTGGAGGAAAATATGCAATATTATGTAATTCCTGTCTAAATATAAATGTTGATTAAAGATTTGGCTCTAATGTGAGAGCAACTTAGTTTTTTTGTCATAAGCTTCTATAAACCTAGTTCTTCAATGTTATAATAAGGAACTTATATTATAAAACATATTTTACATTAACATGTTACACAGAATAAATTCCTAAATATTTTTTAAATCTTGTATTTGTTGTAAAAATCACACTCATTTTTCTATAACCATCAATCTTACTACAAGCTACTACAAAGACAACCAAGGTATTAAAAAGAGCTAACATTTACTGAACCTTTCCTGTGTACCATCCTACTTCTAATTATTAAATACTCCTCCCACTTCATTTTACAGATGAGGAAACCAGCTCAGAAAAAAAGGCTAATATAAGGGTAACATTTCCAATTAAATAGGAGGGCTAATTTTATGTTCTATTGAACAGGGTAGAGACTAATTAATAATATTGTATTGTATGTTTCAAAATTACTAAGAAAGTAAGCCAGGCATGGTGGCTCATGCTGTAATCCTGGCACTCAAGAGGCTGAGGCAGGAGGATCATTGGAGTTCAAGACCAGCCTGGGCTACAAAGTGAGCTCAAGGCCAGCCTGAGCTACACAGCGAGACCCTGTCTCAAAAAGACAAAAAAAAAAGGAAAGCAAGATTTAAATATTCTTACAACAAAAATATCTCAGCCGGTAAACATTAATTAGGTTAATTTCATCATTTAACATTGACCTTTTTTTTTTTTTTTTTTTTTTTTTTTTTTGCGGTACCAGGGATCGAACTCATGACTTTGCACTTGCCAGACAGGCGCTTATGCCACTGAGCTATATCCCCAGCCCCTCATCATTTCACATTGAGCATATGTACGTTGTAATATCACATCATACTACATAAATATATATACACCTACTATGTCGTGATAAGGTAAAATTTTAAAAGAGAAAGGAAAAATAACTTGCTCTGAATCACAATGTGTTTTGTGCTTGAGACAAAATTCTAACAAAAGCACTTTACTTCTCCTGTGTTCTTTAGAAATCCTTTGAGATAAACTTAAAAAACAACCAGTTATAGTCTAATAACTGGAATTGGTACTGGGGTGGGAGGGTCTGAAAAAGTGTTGCTAACCCTACCTGGGAGAGGAAACAGATGTTTCTGGGAAAGATTAGGCTTGAGCTGAACAGAGTTTACTAACTGGGGATTCTAGACATACGTAATAGCATACTCAAAGGCAATATCAGGAAAGAGCTTAGCATGCTCAGAAAAGGCAGGAAAACCGCTATTCTTGAAGGGAAAGAGGGTAGAAAACAGGCTGAGGATAAGGTGAGGGGTCTGATCTCACAGAAAGGCAGTGGCCTTCTGGTTTCAACGCTGTGAGAACCATTGGAGATGCTTGTTCATAATGAAAAGAGCTGGACCCCAGTCGCCAGAGAATCGTACTTAGATCCAAGATTAGCATTTCGGGGGCATCCTGGGGAATTCCAGCGGGGAGGGCTCTTTGTGAACCTCTGTTACAAACACTGGGAAATCAGGATGCTGAAGCATGATATGCTTGGTGGCCCTGGGTTGAAACAAACACACAACAGCTGAGGGAAGACAGGAAAGTGTTCCCCCAAAAAGGTGATTTTTTTCTTTACTTACAATTCAGAAATGGGCTGGGGATATAACTCAGCGACATAGCACCTGCCTGCCAAGCACAAGGTCCTGAGTTCGAGTCCCAGTCCAAAAGTAACAAAAACAATTTAGAAATAACAAGAAAGTGACTTTCAAAATAATCTGGATCTCTCTCTCACTCTCTCTCTCTCTCTCTCTCACACACACACACACACACACACACAGACACCTTTGCTTATAATTGCTTTGGATGTTATTTAGATTTCTGAATTACAGGAAATGCTGAAAAGTCAGGGGCCAGGTTTACTCATTTTTAAGGAACTTAAGTCCAAGAATGTGTAAGCTTTTCCAACCACACTTTACTGGTTTTGGCATTTGCAGTCCCTTCTGTCCTCACCATTAGTAAACTACAGATAAATTAATAGAGAATCAATTATGAGTCAATAAATGAGTGAAGGACTTAATTGACTCACACATTTTCAGTAGAACTTAATTTTACACAATACAACTGAGAGATTGTTTAATGAATCAAGGAAACTGCAGTGCTTCTGTACTTTACCCTGGGATTAATTTAACAATTTAAGCAGCTAATTTTTCTAAGATAAGCTTTCAGTAGCACACAAATTTAAGATCTGCTACTGTATCATTATAATATGAGGTAAAAGCTTATATATCCCACCGGTTTTGTGTACCTCTGGAATAGAGGAAGTGAGGGCAAACTATATTTTTAAAGTCGCCTGTTCATTTCCAGCACTTGTGGTCAGGTGACACATCCCCCAAATTTTTCTTGGCAGAAAATTGATACATTCACACTTTCCAAAAGTACATTCCTGAATGTTTAAGCAGACTTGAAAGGAAAGGAGAAAACAGTCACGTATCTGGTCTGGAGTTAAATAGACACCGCACATCAGAATATCACTAGGTAAGCAGAGATGGCCCGAGTCAACTGGGGATTCTCCAAGTTAAGATGCCAAATCACACGCTGATGTTTATTCCACACTTAAGCTTGTTCAACACAGATGGTAGGCATAAAATAGCTGAGCTTCAGTGCATCATATCTGGAGAGAATGATAGATAAGGTCTTCTTTCTTGACAGTAGGGTTGTTTTCACATTCCACTTGAACTGAATTATGCTCTTTCATGCCATAGTGTATGAAAGAATCCTAGCATGTTTGGTTAGAATTCTTAGAAGAAGCCATTATATGGACTCTTTGGAAAACAAGGAAAGGGGAAAATACATAAAAAGGTGAGCACTATAAGAAATATGACACCCAAAATTGAGTATCTTCCATTTTCAAAAGTAAATAAATGCTTATTGGATTAACATGCATTAATATGGATTCTTATATATTACATACAAGTGTATATTTATGTGTTAATGTTAAGGGACAATGTAAATCTTTCATTTAATGGACTGGCAAAAATATTTTGAATTTCTAATGTAAAAAAGATATCATGGTCAGATATACTACATGTGATCAATATAAAACATTGGCCCTAACTTTAAAATGTACTCAACCAAGTTTGGTCATTCAGAGATATTATATAAAGGTGAAAAGTTAAGTAGTGTTGATATGATCATGGCAATTATGAAGCTTTGTCAGAATGTGCTACGAGTAGTAATTTCTGGTCAGGGAAGTGAATGGGCTACACCAGCATAGGTAGTGGAGACAAATTACTCCACTCAAAGAAAAGAATATGAACAAAATCCTATTAGCCTGGTGCTCCCCAATGTGTTGTTGGGGTCCCCAAGAACACACACAGGTCCAGCTTTTCACTGAAGGACTCATAAAATTTGACAATGCCGCTATGCTCAAAGTTGCCATTCCTCACAGAAAAAGAAGATGGATTAAAATTAGCAAAGGTAAAAAACACATAGCACAGACTCTGGGCAAGCTTTCAGCTGCCCTTTCACTGCAAGAAAAAATAGACAGCACTAATTCCCCCAGCAATGGCATGTAATTGCCAACCAAGGATGTTCACCTAAGCTTTGTACCCAGGGTTTCAGTGTGGGTCATTCACACAGACATGGAAAATCCCCGTGACTGTCCTGACTCATCTGCATCTCATGCTCCTCCAGAAGTCAGACTGATACATCATGGCCCCACGCTCCAGGTGAATTATAGCAACTTTCATAATAAGTCACTGTCACTATAAATTGTCTTGCATAAGCCAACCCTGTCATCAGGCAGAAGATGTCTGAGTTTAGAGGTGATCTCTCAGGTGCATAGTAATTCATAGTAGAGAAAGAGTTTGTGGAATGGTTGTCTTTAAATAAATAAATTAATTAATTAATTAATAAACAGTCAATCTCAAGAGAATGATGCTTGTAAAAGTCTTGTCTCTACTGATTTGTTTGGATGAAAAAAAGAAAATCTGAGGAAGAAGAAAACCATCTTCATGGCATAACAATTGGGCTTAGCTTTGTGCAAAAATCTAGACATTTTCTACTGTGTAGTCATTCTATTCTCGGCCACATGTCACTACGTGTGACCCTAACAGTGGGACACCTGAGGAGGGAGTGATGACTGATGTAAGTCAGCAACTCTCCTAGTGTAACTGCTCCAGTTACCAGCTCTGCAGAAGAAAGTGCTACACTGAAATTTTCAGCAACAGCTATTTACCAATCCTTTTCTCTCAATTTCTTTCCCCCACCCTCCACCCTGCACTTTCTTTGATGAACTACAATGTGATCTTGGAAGATGTTCCAGTGGATTTGATCGCCATCGGCAGGATTGGGTGGACAGTGGATGCCCTGAAGAGGTACACATGTGCTTTATTACCATAAGATTCCTGGGACCAAGCTGTCATATGTTGCTGCTACTGCAACTTAGTAAGAATGGTGTACTATAGTTGTAAAACTAGCCAGTAGTCATTGAACTCCTAATATGTGCCAAGCACTGGGTTTATTTCTTCTATGTATTATCTCAATTTGTTCTCATATTCACTCTATGGTGTAGATGCTATTAATACTCATCATATTACCAGAAGAGGAAAGGAAGAAGGAGGGAGTGTGTGGAGAGAAAGAGAACACAGTTGCTTAGAGTTAGGCACTTGGCGATGGAAAATAGGACAGCCAGGACTTGAATCTGTGTGAGCAGAGGGTATTACTCATGAACACTTGCTGCTTTTCTACTATCTAGGAAACATTTTCCCTCCTTTTAGCTCAAATAATAAAAACAATAGTATGCAAAAAAAAAAAAACCAATTACAGCAAATCAAGTGTATGATAAGAACTGAGAATTTAGCATAAGTAACACAGAGAAGACATGGTACATCGTTAACTCCAAAGGAATCGCAATAGAAGTAATCATGCATTGAAGTAATTCAAGTAATTGTGCACATTTAAGGAAGCAATGTTAACCGTTTGAAAGTTTTCCAGTGAATTCCATGAACACCATCATTTCAGGGTCACAGAGATCCTAAAAATAGTTCATAAAGAAAAGTATTTCTTCACCCTTTATGGAGTTCTAGGGCATGAATTTTAATTAAAATTACTAACAGTTACACAAGTTTTCTCATCCAGCAGAGGGGCATAAATGCCTCATGGGAGGTATTTTATTCATTTTGGGGGGTAAGGTCTCATAAAGATCTTAGAAATACATCTTGAAGAACATTCTTGAGTTGTTAAGTATAGTAGTACAAATACACTTTTAATCAACTTTCTGACATCCATTTGGGAAATTGCAGAAAAAAATATATATATATATGAATTTAATTTGTGTGGCAGCACAGTGCAAAAGAAAATACATATACTGATAAATACATTATGTTTTGAAATCGTTTTTTCACCATATTCTACGAACTATGCTAACCACTAAAGCTACAGGGATTATAAGTAAAAGTTACCTCCTCCCAAAGAGCTCAGACTCTATCCTATTCCATAATAGTCAATGCTTCCTTTCTATTGTGCAATTAAATTATCAACATTACTAGCTGTATGGTAAGCAATTCTATCTATTCTTACAGGTAAGTAAATAAGTTCACAAACTGCTAGGGCATTTTCCATACCTATAACAAGTACTAAAGTTTCTTTCTTTTACTGTGAGTTGAATTTATTCAACAAGGATGATGAGTATAATGCATGTTAGTGGAGAAGGTTTCCTTAACTAGTTGCCAACGTACTTGAGTTCGGTGACACAGAACACCTCATCCCCACTCCTACATACCACAAGATACATGAAATGAGGTTAGCCCTCATAGATAGGCAGCAGGGAACAGCAGAATCTTAGGATTTATTGCAATCCTGGCCCGCAGGGTAATGGGATCTCATCTGCAGGCGCTCTTCTTGAATCCTTACTGAGTGACCCCAGATAGCAGCCCACCTTGGGGTCACCAACTTACAGAACTAAAGTATTGAAGACCGATCTCTGTTTAGGGGGGATCCCAAAGAGAACCAACACTGTTTGGGTCAATTTCATTTTATCTCAAGATAATTGTATTTCCAGTCCATTCTATACTTACTCTTGAGAACTGTAAGTGAGAAAGAGCAGAGAAATATTATTCCCAGGCCACCTAGAGAGCTACCTGTATGTTGGAATGTTCTAGAAACTGATCACTTATTTCATGGTATGACCACTATGTCCATCTAGGTAGATGGGCCACTAGGCCCAGCAGGTAGATAGCCAACTCTTAGAGAATAACATGGGCAAGACATACTAACTACAAGTGTGTGGTCTTGTTAAGCAGTAGGAAGCATGAGGAAAGGTTCCCATAAGGAGGTAATGTTTAAAGTGAGCCCTGAAGACAGCTGAAACAAGACACAAGGCATGAGATGAGATTGGTGAGGTGAACAGGGCCCTAAATGTGACAAGTCAAAGGAGTTTGATTTTCTCCTGAAACCAAGAAGAGAGATCTAAAGAGTTGTTTCTCAATGGCTCTCTAAGGTACTTAACTGTGGGTTGTGAGGCAGGAGGCCAAAGCATTGACTACTAGAATCCAGGCCAGAGATGGTGATTGCTGTGGCCTCAATGTGGGATGTGCCCTCAAAGCCTTATGTGCTAAGAGGTGGAACTCCTGAAAGGATTATGGGGGAACCACAGCTGATTTGCTGTTAGGAGGTGGGGCCTGGTCGGAAGAGGGGTTACTGAGGACCTGACCTGGAAGAGCAGATACCGCTCTCCGGCTCCTCACTTCTCTCCGTGCTTCCTGGCCGCCATGATGTGAGAGACTTGCCTCCACTACGCCCTTATGCATGCTGCTCCCACTCTGGAGCCAGCGACGATACACCGTATCTGGGAGCCAAAATGAACACTCCCCCCTTTACATCTCAGATTTTGGGTACTGTGTCTCAGCCTTGAAAACAGTGAACCAAGACAGTGGTCTGGACCAAATCACTGGATAGGAAGCTGGGGAGGAGGGTGATGGTGATAGTGGGGAAAGAATCAGTAAGTAGTTGCTTTCATGGAAATGAGAACTGAGTGTTCTGAAATTCTCCTTTTTTATACCATTTTCAAAAATTTTTTTACATTTTTTTAAAGGAGAAAAGGTTTATTTCAATTCACAGTTTGTGGAGGTTTCAGTTCATAGTTGGCTGGCTGCAGAGCAGGGCAGCCCGGCAGAGGGGCATGGCAGAGGAGAAACAGTCCGTGGCAGAGCAGGCAGAAAAAAGCAGCCCTTTTAAAGGCTTTTGTCATATTAAAGTCATTCTGAAGCACAGTAAGGAAATGAATACCCATGGGCGTGCTACACAATTTAAAACACGAGAGTTACTGATCACTAAAACTTGGCTGTTTTTACTCCTGTTCCATCCTAGGCTTGTCTTGCCCTGGTAACAGTAAATTAAACTATTCTGAATTTTAAATTTTTCACTCAGAAATTTTGTAGAACTTTACACTTACCCATGTTGGTTCCTGTGGTGGTTTATTCATCTCGGTAGCTCTATATTATATGTGATATGAATGGACCATTCATTCACTAAGCAAATGTTTATCATGTGCCCATTATATGCCACACACTTTTGGGGTACTGTGATGTAGTAGGAAAATGAAAACAGCCCAAAACCACTAAATCTTACCTTTCTGGAATTTACCTCCTTACAATAACATTTTCCTCACTCAGCCTTTAGTTTATGGACATTGCTTCCAGGTTTTTACTATTACAGAAATGTTTCATGCGTGTCTCCTGAATCGAATGTACAGACGTTTCCCTGATATTCCTAAAAGTAGAACTCATGTGAGTCAGAAAAATGTTCAGTTTTGAAATCCCAAATTGCCCAATCATGTCTTTTCTCATTTTTCTGTTTGGTAATTGTCTATATCTTTTTACTCTGTATACTGTATCTTTGTTGGTTAGAAGTAAATACACATAAAAAATCTTGAATATAACTGCCTTACAAAACTCTCTTACTGATTTAAAAACTATGTCTGAATATCCTTGTTAGCTCTCTATTTAGACAATCATGTCACCTATAAATAATGAGAATTTTGCATCTTATTTTCCACACCTTTAATTTTTGGTTTTATGACTCTAGCTAATATCTCAAGATACAGTGTCTTAGTCACTGTCCTCCTCACTGGAACAAATTACCCCAGCAATTTATTTTGGTTTGTTTTTGTTTTTGGTACCGGGAATGGAACTCAGGACCTTACACTTGCCAGGCAGGCACTTATGCCACTGAGCTATATCCCCGGCCCACGCTAGCAGTTTAAAGAAGAGTTTTGTTTTGGTTCAAGTTTTGGAAGGTTCAGTCCTGGTTTGATCTATGGAATGGTACAAGGGCCTGGACTGAGGAAAGCTGCTTTAATCATCGCGAAGGGAGCAGCTAGGGAAGGAGCAATGTCCTTCCAGACCACACCCCCAGTGCCCCACCTCCACCCAGGGCCTCCTAAAAGCAATCCTGCTGTAACACCCTGTAATCCAATTACCTTTCAAAGCTGCACCTCTGAGTATATGAAGTTCTTAGGGGACACTAAATCTAAACTATAACATAGATATATATCTGTATCTACATCTATTTTTATATCTTTTTCCAGATTTTGGTTTCTTTATCATTTTCTCTCATTTTAATTCATAATTATTCTCAATTTAGTGTGTTACATTTATCAGTCTTTTATTTTATGTTCAACTGTATATGTATGTGTATCTACTTTAAGAAAAATTTTTCTGTCAGAACTGGTGGCACATGGCTGGACTCCCAGCTACTTGGGAGGTTGAAGCAGGAGAATCTCAAGTTTGAGGTTATTCTGAGAAACCAGCAAGACTCAACTCCTGTCTCTATCCCCAAATATAACCTTTCCAACCAAATTTTATAAAAGTTATTTTATATATTTTCTTCTAAGTGTTTTAAAGTCTTGTCTTTCCAACTTTTGCCCGATTTTGAAATGCTTTTATACAAGATAATACTTTTAAAAATCCAATATTTAGGGCTTTCTCCAGTACAGCTAATCAAATTTCAAAGCCCATCTATCTAATAATCCGTCTTTTTGACAATACCTTAGAGAAACACCACTTTCATAAATAGTTTCTGGCTTACCTAAGACTTGGTTTGTTATTTCTTAGACAGCACAATGCATAATTTTGTTAAAAACAAACAAACAAACAAACAAGAAACACATTGTCTTTCTGACAAGTCACCTTACTTCTTTATTTTCACAAATGAGTTGACCATTTTAGGGCCTTTGTCACTTATATGAATTTTAGAGTCATCTATCAAAATTGGTAATCTATTGACCTGTACATTTTATTAACACTTTAATTGAACTTACACTGAACTGTGAATTATATATTTTCAAATTAGGAGAACTTTAAAAATTTATCTTTTTAATGATTTCTAACTTAATTGAATTTAACTGAATAATATATTGCACATGATATTAATTCTTTCAAATTGGTTGGAAATCTTAATATTACATGAATAGCTATACATATTCTTAATAAGAATGCATGTTTTCCAGTTGGTGGGTGTCAAGTTTGATCAGTGTGCAGTTCAACTACTGTCTCTCCCTCCTTCTCTCTCTCTTTTTATGCTATGAGTTTTTTGAGGATAAGATTGATCTTTTCATTTTTCCCCTGTACTTTTTAATCTCTCTTTTATATCTTCTACTTTCTTATTTCTCTCTGCTGCACTGTGAGGAATTTCTTCAGGTATATTTGTATGTTAATTCTCTTTATCTTGCTCAATCTTCTATTTATTCAATATTCTAATTATTTTACTCATTGAGGAAGTCATTTCAACAATACATTTTTCCTTTCTAAAATTTGAATTTGACACTATTAAATCAATCAAGTCATTTTCATTGTCTCATACTGGCAGTGTATTTTTAAATTTTTCCATTCACTTCTTTAAATACTGCACACCTAATTGTTATACACTCTATATTGGATGTCCCTGGTGTCTGAAGTTTTGCAAGTCCAAGTAAGCTATTTGTTGCTCATTGATTTTGCTGACTTTTTAGTCAAGCACTCTTTTTGTGTTTCAATTTTGTGTTCTTTAATAAGAAGCACATATTAGTTTAGTCTTATCCCATGGGAATACCCAGGACCCAAATAAGTGAGGCTTCCCACCAAAGAAGACTTGATATGGGGGCTCTGAGGGTCCCAGGGGGGCCACAGCTACAGGTTTTGCCTTTATGAGGGGAAGAAAGGTTTTGATTTATGGCCCCCAAGGGTGATGCAAGGATTGATCTCCTTAAAACGGTAAGACTTTGGTTTCTTTTCTCAGTGAAAACTTTAAGTGTTCCTATTCTCTTTACAGCTTACAGTTCATCTTCTGTTTGTTTGTTTTTAGAAGAACAAAGAAAACAAATGGAAATGCACAGATGTAGATTTTCTTCACTTCCTATGAATTCTAATATTGCCTTAAAATTCGTTTTTTACCCAGAATCTACTTGTTTTGCAACAGGAGGGCTCTATAAAGTCTTAATCTCCCTTTACTTCCATAAACAAGCTGAATCCAGGATTTTGCCTTAAACACTAGGGTATTTGGTAGTACCATTCTTCAAGAAAAATAATACAAGTGGAGAATAATATATGACATATTCCATTGTAGGCTTCTGGTATTTCAGATGTTAGTGATATCTCAAAGTTCAGTTCAGACTGGAGAAAGTAGGCTGATTTGTAAAGAAATATAGCTCATGTTATCACTTTTATCAAAAAAAAAATATAAGGTTAGCTGGTGGAGTAAAATTGGGATAAGTATGATGAGATTATTAGCTTAAAGTAGAGTAGGGGTGGGAGGAAATGATGCTAACCGCCGGCGTGATTAGCCAAATAGAACAGTATTGCCAAATAACAGGATGGCCCATTGAGGAGGAAGATCGGTTTGTGGAATTCCCACCCAGTGATTATCTCCAGCTGTGTCTGTCTTTAGCATACGCATTGAAAGGGCAGCTCTTGCTACATACAGTATGAAGGATTTTTTGAAAATGTGCGGTGAGAAAATCCGCCCGAAAAATGCTAAAAGCTGTTGAAAATAGGTTAGAGTGATGGAAAGAAAGGAAAGTAAAGAAAGAAAATCATTGTGCTTGGGTTCTCTGCGTAGTCAAAGGATAAGAAGAATTTGAGTGAACAGGTACACAGAGAGACTGAAGCACAATAATTGAGTTTATGATTTCATACCTAAAGCATTTTCAACAGAAGATTGTGCAGGGTGTAGGGGTGACAGCTAAGGTTGAGTCAGAGCGATGATTGGTAGCTCTGTGGAGTTGACAGGATGAGGGAACAGCCCGTAGGATGGTAAAACTTGAAGTGGGGAATAAGCCTGCATCGTATCCAATTAATGAGAAGGAAGCTGTGTCAGGAACTCTTCATTAACCAGAGAAAATATGCATAATAATTCACGAGTTAGAAGAGGGTTGAAGAAAGGTATTAATTTTGTAATTCTCAAATATGGCATGCGTACCACTTTGTGGAGATCGTGCTTTCTACGCAGGCCTGCCAGAGACAGTTTTTGGAAGCAGAGAGAGATGGGTTTTAGCACTAACCTATAAACTGTAGAAATTTCAGCATTGGAGACCACGGCCAGAGAAAATGACAGATGTATTTCTGTAGGCTATAAATAAAAGAAAAAAAATAGGAGATGCACCATTTCCTGGTGACTTCATTGTAGCCCTGCTAGGGTCAACTCAACTAAGCCTTTCAATGAGTGCTATTTCTTTGTGTGCTTTTTGGATGTTTATAAAAGAAAACAAAATTTCAAATGTCTATTCAACATGTGGCAAATTAAATTTGAGACTGTAACATAGGTTGGAGCTCTTAGCAAATGTTTAAGATTTAGAATTTCATTTGAAGCAAAGGCATTCTTTCTTCACATACTTAAGCATGCTATGAGTCTTACCTATATATGCTGTTTTTCTTTGAGTTTACAGTTTTACCTTTTGACATTCTGTCTTTGATAAATGTAGCAGCATTACATTTAAGAAAGATAAACAATAATATGAAAGGTTAGGAGAAAAATGAAATCCAAATATCTAAAGCTGGACAGAGTTTGTACTATCTGCTTTTCTGTCTCTCTCTTTCCTATTTTATAGACTTGTAAACCACCAAAATCTCTAATGTAGCCCAGCACAAAGACAATCTATTGCTTACATTAATTAGAGAGATTTTTTGCTTGATAGCCTAACTTCTTTGATAAGATTTCTTAAGCATATATTTGATTTCTCAAATTGTTTTCCCTTTTGCATCTCTTATTAGTCAAAAGAGAAGATGTGCGAGAACACAGAGTCAGTGGGAACTTCTCAAACCACCACAACCACCCACGTGACAACCACACAATTCAGGGTCCTCACCACCACGAGAAGAGCAGCGACATCCCAGCTGCCCACCAGTCTGCCCACAGAAGGTGCCCAAGACATAGTTTACTTTTTTCTTAAAAATAGAAAAAAAAACACAGAGAGGAAAAGGGAAAAAAGGGGGGAAAGACAAAAATATTATGGACTGAAAATACGTGGTGAGATTCTTTTAATATATTTTGTCTTTTATGAAGACAACTGTTACTTGTAATGTGGCTGCTTGTTCTCAATGGAAAAGTATAGATTTCTTTTTATGAGACTTAATTTAGCAGTCTCTGAACTCAACACTGCAGTCACAGGATGGGAAGGCGAAAGTGCATGAAATATCCATTGCTTTTGGATTCTGAACAATAGACTATTCTATTAATGTATAATTCTAATATTTCCTGAATACAGTCAGTATCGCAGTCCATAACCTGTATGGAGACACCACAAAGAGCACAGAAATTGTTCTTCCTCTGATAGAGAAGGCAGAATTACTGAAGCGTCAATACATAAGCTTAATTTGTGGGGAAGAAGGCATATTAGCCATCATTTGATAACTTTCCATTCTGAATGGTATTGCTAGGAACTAGGCAGAAATGTGAGACGAATGACCAAAGGTTCATTTTCATGGGAGAAGATAGTCTTACTTACTCTTGCTTTCTTTTGAATAGGAAGTGAAATTAAATTTGAAACCATTGCTTTTAATTGAAATTTAATAGGATACTGCAAGGCACTTGGTATAAAGTGATTTGGAGAGCAAGTGCCAAATGTATTTTATTGATCTTAAAAGCAACATATTTAAAATCATATTATTCTGGATCGTTATATTAAAACCCATGAAACATATTCCCGTAATATAAACTCTATCCTTTAAAACAAAATATAACCATTCCACTGAAAAGGCTTAACCTACCATATGTTCATTCAGGACAAAATCCTTTTTATAAATGCTTTTGATTACTCTTGTTATCAATGAAAAATCCATTTAACTTCTTTGGAAGTTAAATGTGTGAATGTTGATAAATCCTGACTATTCCAATTAATTTGAAATTTTCTGGATTTTGAATTTTAAATGAATAAAGTTAGAACTACAAGTCCTATTATGGGTTGTTCAAGTTAAAAATAGGTGTAATTAAGGTTATGACTGTTTACCTTTTTGAAGAACTTAAGAATTGTATCTGCTTTGCTAAAGTTTTGTACTTACAATCTCTGCAAGAAGTTTAGTACTACATCATGTGAGACCGGTTCTTGCTCTCACTGAACTAAAAATTAGCTCAATAAATTATCAAAGTCTAATCATATTAGTTAAGGCAATTACCTAGACAATTAATAGTAATAGGTTTTATGCACCTTTAAAAACCTTTTTCCATTCTAATAACTTTGAATTTCTCTTCCAGATGATACCAAGATAGCACTACATCTAAAAGATAATGGAGGTAGGAATTAACACTTTTCTGTTATAAACATTTTAGATGCTAATTGATTTCATTCATTTTAATGTGAGAAAAGACACGTGAACTTCAAAAGGGAACAAAATTATATCTGATTGTATTACTATTTAATAGTGGAAGAATACAGTTGGTTTGCTAGAAGGGTGAATTGAGATCCTAATCCTTGCATTTGTCTATAAAGCTACATTATGTGGATTATAGTTATATGATGGAGAAGTCATCCATGGATCTTCTTGTTCTTTGTTGCTGTAGTCATTTTTTAATTGTACATGTAATTATCTAAACTGTTTCAGGTCCACGTTTATTGGATTTTTTTTTTTCACTAATTTACTGGTTGATCAATCCTGTCTACATCAAATTTAAAAAAAGTAAGGCAGTAACTGGAAATGCATTGTGCTAGTCTTTTCATGCATTCTATAATGCAAATAAAAATTTATTCAGAAGAACATCTTATTAGTAACATACTTAATACTTTTCAAAAACAGTGCAAAATTACTTACACTAGTGTTTGAAAATTTGAAGGAAAAATGATTTTACCCATACCATATTGTAAAAATATTAAAAGAGTTTTTAAATATAGTCTCTTTCTGTGAAACTATTTTAGCTCATCCCTTCTCCTTTGGAGTATGCTGGATGTCAATAAAAAGATTTACATTAGCGATACCTTTTTTGGCTTAAGAAGGACATCTTCCTTTCTTCTAAGCATTTATTATGATACCTGGTGACACTGATATCAGCCTGGTTTTAGTTTTGCAACCCTATAAGAGTTCTCCCCTCATATTTATATGTATATGTATACACACCAACAGAGATAGAGGTAGAAGTAGAGATAGAGATAGGGATAGCGATAGGGATAGGGATAGGGATGGGATAGGGATGGGGATGGGATAGGGATAAGGATAGGGATGGGATAGGGAAGGGATAAGGGTGGGATAGGGATAGGGATGGAATAGGGATAGGGTTAGGGATAGGATAGGGATAGGGATAGGGATAGGGATAGGGATAAGGATAGGGATAGGGGTAGGGATAGGGATAGGGATGGGATAGGGATAGGGATAGGGATGGGATAGGGATAGGGATAGGGATGGGATAGGGATAGGGATAGGGTAGGGATGGGACAGGGATGGGATAGGGATAGAGGCAGAGGAAGAGGCAGAAACAGAGGCAGTGATAGAGATGATAGAGATAGATGGAGAGGTAGTTGAGGATGTTTTCCCCTATTTTTAATTGTAGAGAACAGTGCCTGAATTGTTTATTCTATGTAATATAACCAATAGTTCTATACTTTCTTAAATCATTGTTTTTATATACATAGGTATATCCTTAGATTTTATTCAGGTCGTTTGAAAGTAAGCTGGTTATTCTTTCTGTCAATATCATTATTACATCAATTATCCTACTTCTATATTACAGGGTCCTATTTGATTCATTTCTTATTCATTATTGTATGAATGCAGTATGGATAGATTTACAGCTTACCATTTGCAAAAGTTATACTAGCTAGAAATAAACTGAAATCCTAAATCTTAAAGGGATTTTAGCAACTCCTTAATGCAGGATTTCCCAGAACAGAATGTCAGAACCCATCGTGTGATCCAAAAACTCTTACAGTTGAGGCTACTTCAATTTAAGGGAGGAGATGGAGTATGGGATGAGTGGAACGGAGGAGGCATCCCCAAGAGGCTAGTGTAAGTGGAAGGTGAGTGGATGGTAGTTGTACTTTTCACTCTGTGTGTTTGTTTGTGTGTGTGTTTGTGTGTGTGTGTGTGTGTGTGTGTGTGTGTGTGTGTGGTTTTGCACTGTTAAAACAGAAAGCAAAGGATTCATGTAATTTAAAATGTGTGAGGTTCGTTCACTCATTCATTCATTCTGAGTAGTTGCTAACTGCAAAGCAACATTGCAAACTTGAGGCTACAGCTGTGAGCAAGGCTTAAATAAATGCCTTACTTTAAGAGAACATGTATTCCAAAGAATATTCAAGATGATCACAAAGGTTTCCTACCTGGAATATTTGGTAATAAAATCTTTTATTAGTAGCATCACATGGACTTATAAAACATTAGCAGTTGTCTTCAATAAAAACCTTACTCTTGTTTAAAGCATTACTGAATCATAACTCTGAAGATTTTCTTAAAGCAATGCATTAAAAACACTGCAAGATGCTAAGAAATCAAGTAAAATAAATCCCAAGATTAAAATGTAGAGCTTCTGGTATACTAGACAGTGAATTGTTTTATTTTCTTATGATATTGAGATAATTGCTATGCAGCTGTTTTCTGTCAGAATTCCAAAATAGCAGTCTTTTGTTTCTCGTGTCTAGAGTTGTTTTCAAAGATTTATCCTGACAACATTCAACTGTAGTTAAAAGAGAAAAACCTAACCAGTAGTAACATACTCCAAAAGAGCACTCGGCTGGGGTTGTTACTTAGTGGTAGAGTATTACTCTAGCATGCAAAAGCCCTGGGTTGAGCCCCCAACACCAGGGGAAGAACTTGCTGCTTAGGCAAAATCACACACTATTTTTTATAATATTACTATTAAAATAAAGTATGCTATCACAGTATGCTGTCATTTTTTTAATGGAATGTAAAAATACAAGATGGATCGTTAATTTAAATCCTAACTTCAATAGCTAATTATACATGCTGTAAACAGAATTCAGAGTTTTCCTTTCCCTTGGCTTAACTTGTTTTGAGAGATTGAGGTAAAAATAAATAATTGTGCCCAATTTAAATGCTTTCTAATATTTTATTGAGAGCGATTTTTTTAAAACATGCAAGCTAATAAATTTTTGTACCTTGTTAAGTATTGTTGCAAAGAAATTTAGCACATTTTATTTCTTTTTTTTTTATATAATTGGCTGTCTTTAAAAGCATTTTAATCCATTAACTTGTATTTCTCTGGAAACGAGGATGATATTTTCAAAGTAGTCAGAATGTAGCTAGAAAGCAATGACTGCCTTCCCATACACTGTCTCTGTTAAGTGTTGAACAATCTTGGCCCTGTGTCTTTCTGGGGCATTTCTTTTGTTAGAGTAGTTGAGTTTTTAAATGGAATCCACAGCCCTTATGGTTATATATTTGCTTTCCAGGAGGTTTTTCTTTGTCTTTGACATGAAAGCATAAAATACTTTGCTTAGTTATAGTATTTGCTCAAGCTAAAATGACCAAAGTCACACAATGGAATTTCTCACTCAGAGGACCCAGGCTGACTTACAGTCTACTATATCATTCTGGATCAGTCTTCAATTCTATGCTGAGTTTCCTGATACATGGCAGACTTGGTCTGGGTGGCACCTCTTGCAAGCTCAGGCTGGTTGCCTGACTGGAGAAGTTTTACTAGCCTTCAAAGGTGAATGGAAATACTAAGCTTTTTAAAGAATTTGAAGAAAAGAACATGAGCAGGTTCTACCACAAGAGTGGTAGCTAATAAGTGCAAGTCTCATATATATTGAGGTATAACCTTGATTGACCACTATAAAAGACTGAGTGCAAAATCTTGGGAAATCAAATTTTTGTTTTGATTTGGTTTGGTTTGGTTTTTTGTCTTATTGAGATAGGGTCTTGTTATGCAGTTCAAGATGGCCTTGAGCTTACTTTGTAGCCCAGGCTGGCCTTGAACTCACAATGATTGTCCTGCCTCAGCCTCCCCACTCCTGGGATTACAGGTGTGTACCACCACACCTGGCAGTTTTAATGACAGCATTTTATTTGCACCTAAAATAGTTCTAGTTGTGTGTTTGTAATATTAAGTGTAAAGCAATATATACTCCTAATCAAATCATATACCCATCTCTTGTTTATAGGAATAACAGAAAGGCTGAGGGAAGGGAGGAGGATATACTTATTGAATATTTTCTATGCTCCAGGCATGCTTTAAAAGCAATCCATGTATAAACTCATGTAATTCATAACACTTCTGAGTTGGTCCTATGTGATTTCTATTTTACAGATAAGGACAAGGAGGTACAAAATTAGGTTACCAAGGTGACAGGGAGCAGAGCTCAGATGAAAACTTCAGGCTCCATCCCAATTGCAGGTCCTAATGACTTCCCCATGTCCCTTCTCCCTCACAGAAGCAGCCTCACCAATCAAAATGCACCTAGCAAATTAACTTACACCTCCTATTTGTTTTCCTTTTCTATAACAATTGACTATACTCCCAAGTGTTTGAAAATGAATTTTCCTTGTCGCATATATTTATGTATCCATTTCTCTTTTATCCTTTTCATGAAAATCACAGTGCATTACTCCTCCTGTGTAATTGAATGCTGTCAGAATCATCAGCACATGGTCCCCATACTATAGGTGTATCTTGTGGTTTATGTTCCAAATCTGATTTCAATGTCTTTCAGATCCTTTTAGAAATTCAGATTTAATTCACCTCTCAGAAGTATTCTAGGCTATATTTTTTAAACACATTGTCTGCCAGGCATGGAGGCACGTGCCTGTAATCCCAGCACTAGAGAGAGGAGGCAGGAGGATCACAGCAAGTTCAAGACCAGGCTGGGTTACGTTGTGAATTCAAGACCAGCCTAAACTACATAGTGAGACCATGTCTCCAAATAAATCAATACCTAATTAATTAATACACTGTCTATGTGGGTCATGGTTATGTATATTTCAAGCAACATCTTTGGATTTTCAGATCCTAGTGATAGCTTATTAGATTAGAAGAGTTATTCTTTAAAGAATGACCTAGGTATATATTTTAGCTGTTTTATTAGAATAATGCCTTCTTTGATATTTGAATCGATTGTTTTCCAATGGCACCTAGTTAGAGCAGTACACTTTGTAATAGCTAAACCTTGGAAACAACCCCCAAATGCCTATCAACCATTAATGGATAAAGAAGATGTGTGTTTTTTTTATGCAATTGAGTACTACTCTTCCTTAAATAAGGATAAGCTCGAGACATTTTTAGATAAATGGGTGCACCTTGAGACCATATTCTTAAGTGAAATACATTGGACACACATGTGGAAA